CTATCGGAGGACAAGCTGGCAATCCTTGTGAGAATTCCTCACCGATTTTCCCTGGGATGAATGTTGCTTTTCCACTCGGGACGCCTCGGTATGTGCTGACAGCATTGCTGGGGTTATACAGGGCGGTACGAGTGCATTTATCCCATCTTCTAATAAAAATTTCCCATTACAATCATGGTTTGATCGCTCCTGCTCTCTTGCTTGCAAGGTGAGAGATAGGGCATATCGAGCTATGAACCTATGTCCTCCTATATTTCATGTAGACCCACAATGAAAACGTGGATAAGATGATAAGATAAATCTTGATAAAATCACACAGGGAAAAGGGAAACAATGGAGCACCTTAGCTTTCGTCTTTATTCAAGACATCTTCAGAGGGAACTGAATTACATGGACGGAGAGGCTTAAATACACAGGGTGACCTTATTAAACATAAGGTCAGGTCATAATCATGACATCCACTATTCTGCACACCAACACACACTCAGAGGAGCTTAAGAGAAAGGGCGACGAGACTAGTCAAGTTAAGTCAGGTCAAAAATATGGGACCCACTAAATATCTATCCTACATCTAACTCCAAGGTTTTCAAAGCATTTTTAACCTTGGGCCACTGACAAATAAATTTATGTAACATATTATCAGTTTTGTCTTGACAATCACTAAGGTTTATGGAATTTAAATATCTAATCAAACTAGCTTCAACCAGAAGTCTTTCTGTGACACATGATGATTTGTACACTTCTAAGCTTTTTTTCCCATTCGGTGGGATGATTATTATTTCTAACATGAACGAACAGTGCACTGCTTTCAGATGCTGTTCTGCTATTGTACTTGTGCTATTTGATTCTGAGTTGCAATGCTTTCCCAGTCTGTCCTACATAATTTCCATTTCATTTGCTACATGGAATTCAATAAACACTTCCATTTACATTCAAAGTTGGGCTATTCTTGATGGTTGAGTCATACTTAAAAACAACATTAATGTTTAATAATTTAAGGGACTGAACTAACGGGACAAATTCGTTGCGATAAGGAAGAGTCAAAATATTCGTAAGTGTAGGAATTTGCCTGGTTTGAGTAGAATGAAAGGATTTTTTTATCCCTTATAAAACAAACAATGAAGGGTACCCAAGTTTTTGTACAATGGAACGAATGTGTTTCAATTCTTCATCAATAAATTCAGCGTCACAAATACGCAAACATCTCAAAAACAGCAGAAAAAACTGACATTTTGGTAGACTCCAGATGACTCGATAAAAAATGTATGAAACTGTCTACCTGTGTGGGCTTTCTGTACACCTTAAATTTATAGTTATGGCCATTTCTAATGATAAGCATATCAATAAATGGAAGGGATCCATTTATTTATCTTTCAATTTTGAATGTAATACTTGGGACATGATCATTAAGTTTGTCTAAAAATTCCAATGGGTCACTGTTTCTAGGCTAAAGACAAAGAACATCATCTACATATCTATACCATGGAGGAATAAAGTTCCCTATATTGGGTAGTAATCTAGCCTCAAAAAACTCCATATAAAGATAGGCTAAAGGAGCAGAAAGACAATTACCTATTCTCATGCCAAATATTTCCTTGTAAAACTTCCCACTTGCTCTAAACACATTGTCAGTAATGCATAACTCTATCAATTTGAGAAAAGTATCATGTTCAATAGTCAAATCTAACAGTTGTAATTTATCTTTAAGAAATGAAAGTAGATCTTTCACTGGTACTCTCGTGAAAAGTGAATTTACATCAAAACTTATTAATTCACATGGTTCATTGTGTTTCTTGAGTTTATGTGAATTAGATATTTGGCCTGTAAGAGGGGACAGCATCCTTACCAACCACTTGGATAATTTGTACGTAACAGAACCCACAGAACTCACGATATGACGTAATGGATTGTTAAGCATGTGTGTTTTTATCAATCCATACATATAAGGTAAACTGGGATTGATTTGAGAGAGAACACAAGAAAATAAGGAGTCTGCAATAGGCCAGTTGGCCTGTGCATGGCAGCTCCTGTCGAGAGTTACTACCACTCTCTATCATCCATGGATCTATCTAGCCTCCTTTTGAAACTGTTTGATGAGATCGGGGTTCTTTTTCGATAACATCTTCATTTTGGAATTAGATAACTTATTAATATTTTCCAGGGGATCTTCGTAAGCTCACAATAAGTGCTTTCATCGCTTAATAATGAATTCATCTTAATATTATAGTCGCTTTTATCCAAAATTACAATAGCATTGGACATATCAGCCTTAGTAATATGGATATTCACATTTCGTTTCAAGCTTATCAAGGCTGTTTCAAATCTTTTTGGGATGTTTGAAAAAATTTTCTTAAGTAAAACCCTATTTATACAACCTTTAGCTATGGAAATATCTTCATTTGTAACATCTATCGACTTATGCTTTTCCAGGTTGATTATACCGTCAGCAATAGTAATAACATAAAAACATAAGAAAATAAGGAGTCTGCAATAGGCCGGTTGGCCTGTGCATGGCAGCTCCTGTCGAGAGTTACTACCACTCTCTCTCATCCATGAATCTATCTAGCCTCCTTTTGAAACTTTCCAGAGTTCCCGCACTTACTACAAAGTTGCTAAGCTTGTTCCACTCGTCCACCACCCTATTTGTGAACAAGTTTCTTCCTATCTCCCTCCTAAACCTAAACTTATCCAACTAGAATCCGTTGCTCCGAGTCCTATCCTGTTCGGATATTATAAGAACTTTATCTATATCCCCTTTATTGATTCCTTTCACCCACTTAAATACTTCTATCATATCTCCCCGCACTCTTCGTCTTTCTAGGGAATGCAAGTTATGTTTCTTTAACCTATCCTGATATGGAAGGTTTCTAAGTCCCGGAATCATTTTTGTCATTCTACGCTTCACCGACTCTAGTGAATTTATATCCATTCTATAATAGGGGCACCAGAACTGAACCGCATAATCGAGGTGCGGCCTGACTAGCGCAAGATATAGATGCAATAAGACCTCTGCACTCTTGTTACTTACACTTCTAGATATAAAACCCAATACTCTGTTTGCCTTATTTCGAACAGTAACGCACTGTTTTCTAGGCCGTAGGTCCGGGCTTACAAGTACCCCTAGGTCTCTTTCACAAGTCGACTTCTCTAGGTTGATGTTGTTAAGGATGTATACCTTATAAGTATTTGTTCTTCCAATATTAAGTACGCTGCACTTGCTGGTGTTGAATTTCATTTGCCATTTTTCAGACCACCCCTGCAGGTTATTTAGATCCTCCTGTAATGCATTTGCATCCTGCCCTGAATTATTTTGCCGCCCTATTTTGGTGTCATGCGCAAACTTGCTTATGTCACTGCTGATCCCAGTATCTAGATCGTTTATGTAGATTATGAACAAGAGTGGGCCTAGTACTGACCCCTGGGGAACCCCACTGGTTACACGGCCCCACTCAGATTTAACACCAACTACGCTGACCCTCTACGTTCTATCGGTGAACCATGATTTTATTCAATTTAAAACTTTCCCCTCGATACCATGAGCCTTTATTTTTCTCAGAAGCCTCTGATGCGGTACTCTGTCAAATGCTTTGCTAAAGTCTAAGTAAATAACATCGTAATTTTCGTCATTATCTACTACCTCGAAGACTTTCCTAAAAAACGTTAGCAGATTTGTTAGACAAGATTTTCCCTTTGTAATCCCATGTTGAGAGTCGTAGATTAATTTGCTTTTCTCTAGATGCGATTGGATGCTATCTGCTATAATTGATTCAAGAAATTTCCCTACTACTGACGTCAAACTGATCGGCCGGTAATTTGACGCTGATGCTCTGTCTCCCTTTTTGAATATGGGTACTACATTTGCCTGTTTCCACAAGTCTGGCACAACTCCAGTGTCTAATGATTTTGTAAATAAGTTTACGATGGGTCTGCTAATCTGTTCCCTACACTCTTTCAAGACACGAGGGAAAATTTCATCCGGCCCTGGGGATTTTGTTTTCTTCAGTTTATTTATCTTCTTAAGAACATCCTCTTTTCTGATAGTGATATTCTTTAATTTCTCTTCTTCCTTTCCCTTAAATATCAGTTCCACCTCTGGAATTTCATCGCAAATTTCTTCTGTGAAAACTGATAAGAAGTAGCTGTTCAATGCTTTGCTTATTTCTCACTGCCATTTATCACTTCTCCTCTCCCTGACTTTAAAGGCCCAACTTTGTCCTTGACCTTTGTCCTATATACCTGGAAAAATCCCTTGGGATTCGCCTTGGATTCTCTTGCTATTTTGATTTCATAGTCTCTCTTTGCTTTCCTTACATTTTTCTTAACATTCCTAGATAGTTCATTATACCTATTTCTGAGCTGCTCCTCCCCTCCTTTTAATTTCTTATATATTCCTTTCTTTATTTCTAGTAAGTGGATTAACGCACCGTTGAGTGATAGAAAACTTCCTACCAAAACCAAGCACAAGTTTCTCATTTGTCTGTAGATCATAAGATGATAAGTTTGTGAACAAATTTGGATCGCTTAGTTTAGTCCAGTAACTTTCGTCAAACAGAGCATTCAATTTAGCATTTAACTTTCTTTTTGGACTTCGTCACATTCACTAAGAAGTTGATATACAAAATCACGAATGGTGTGCCACTTATCAACACAAGCACTGTTTTGCATTAGTATTTTACACTGAGCACTGTGCTTAAAAACCAATTTTACACTATCATTTGAACTCTTGATAAGGGAGTCCAGCAGCATTTATCCAACTCAGAGAAGGCTTAATTATCCAGATTTCTTAATCTTCTTGGAAGACAGGACTTAGGAACAATTTTATTATGTCTGCATTCTTTCAAAAACTTCAACTATATATATATATATATATATATATATATATATATATATATATATATATATATATATATATATATATATATATATATATATATATATATATATATATATATATATATATATATATATATATTTACAAAACTAATGTGGAATATTTGCAGGTAAAGAAGGAAAGATTGACAGTGTTTGGGCTCTGGAGTTGCTCACTATAGCTGCTGAGCTTGATCCTCGAATCACCACAGATTTCTACAATGACCACACAAACTCATCTCATGAACTACAACCTTCAGGGGTATCAACAACTACTTTACCAGAGGGACGTCATGTGTGCCCAGAAAAATATTTAGGAAGGTCTGCGGATGCTCAGCTTCAGAAGAATTTTGTACAAGTAGAGTGTAACACTATCTCAAGATTAGAAAATGCCTTGTCTATTGTTCTCTCAACAAAGAAATGGGAATACGATAGAATAAAATTTGTTATAGAAAATATAAGGAAGCACTATAATGTTAATATTTTTGTTTTGACTTACAATATTAGTACTCCTCCACCATTGACTATTGAGGGTACATTTATTAAGTCATTTCCTCCCAGCACACTTGAATCACTTGCTATAAATACGGTAACTTTGAGTATAAACACACCTTTTACTTTTGTGGCACATTCAGTGACACATTTTTCTGATCAGTCATCACTGGAACGCCTTATTCGAGTTCTTGATGACCTTGAGAATGTTAATGTTGTCTCAGGAGCGTTTAGAAATTTAAAGGGTCACTGGAATCATGGGTGCCTGCAGCAGAGAATGGAAAATTACCAACTAGCTTATGTTCGTGGCTATGAACATTCTTCGCATGAATGTATGTATTGTGATGATGTTCTAGGACCATTTATGGTAAGGACAGAGTTTCTTAAGAAAGTTCCCCTAACAGAGAGCTTGGAAGGCTCTACTATGTACCGTGACTGGTTCCTTAATATACAAATTAGTGGCAGTTTGGTTATGGCTTGTCCCGATGTTATGTTTTTTGTTGATGCAGATCCGTACATGGAACGTGATGACTGGCTTAAAGTTGCAAAGAAATGGTCCCTGCAATATATCCAGCCTTATGAAGGAAAGGAATTGGAATTCTCATGTGAAGAAGCTCAAATAACTTGTTTTCATCTTATGGTTGATGTATCTTCATTTCTTCTTCCACCTTGTTGTAGAAGTAATATACGCCGTGAACTTGGTTATGTCCAGGAATGTGCCGAAGAACTTGGTGTGTATTATGAACTTCAAGCTGGAAGTTTACTAGGTGCAGTGAAGACTGATGGCATATTACCGTGGGACTTTGATACTGATGTAATAACAGATTGTAAAGACCAAGAACTGTGGCTTACCAAAGGTCAAGCATGTATGTCAAGAAAAGGCTGTGACTCCAAGCTGATTATTAATAATTATTGGATTTCTAGATGTAAATTTTCTGTAGTTGATATAACTTGTCGTTACAATCGCACCATTTACTTACCACCAGAGTATCGTGGAATCCCAACTCAGATTGAGTTCGATGGAAGGATGACGAACGTCAAAGTAAACCCAGGACTAGTTGCAAGAAACAAATATGGTCATGAGTACTTGAAACATGCAGTTCACTGGCGATACTCAAGCAGTACAAAAAAGGATGATGGTTCAGGACAGGAAGCAGGGATGTGGAGTATGTGTAAGGAGCCAGGATTTCACGCATGTCTTGACCATTTCCCTGTCGATGGAAACTTGAAATTTAAGAGATTTACTCACCAGCTCCATTAATACATGCCTTAATAACTATATTGTGTGATTAACAGTGTGATAGCATCTGCTGCATGAATTTTTGCACATACTTGTTCTTAAATTATTATTATTATGTATGACAATTTTCAGTGTGTATTTATTTATGTATAAGTATGAGTAGTGTCAAAGTAGCTACTTAATAACCTTATCTAGGGAGGGTAAAAGTGGACACCATAGGCAGTATCGTACTGAGTATTAAAGGGTTGTCTTCTAGTATTTAAAATATGTTATTTTACATAATGAAAAATTTTATCAATACACTTCAAGCTTTTTTTCAGAAAAACTTCTACTACATTAATTATGCTAGTATTCTCATTGGTACTCTTAAGATTTTGTTGTCTTTTCACACAAGCAATATTCATAAATATTTAGATTTAGTTTAAGGAAAAGGTGTGACAAGTTGTACTTATTAAAGTGAAAAAAATATTTAATTTTATTAATGTTATTCGGGCCATTATAATGCAATTATGGGTGTGAAATGTCCCTAGAATATACATGGATGATTTACTGACTCAATGTGTTCAGTAATCATCTTCATGTCCCCTGAGCCAAATTATGGAGATCAAGTGCTACATAGGAGGCCTTGTCTTACCAATCAGTTTACACTGAAACAATCTAAGGCTCTGTTTTCGTGTTCAGGATCAATCTGCCATTTTTAATTCTTAACTATACACCATCAAAGATAGATATCTTCAGGTTGGCTGTCCTCGTGAGAGCTTTTATACTGCATAAATCTAAGCGCGCCAACCCTGTTGTGATAAATAAATAGATTTTTTATATAAACTACTGCACTTCTTAGTGTTATCACCTAAATAAGACTATTATTAGGCTGCATGTTTACCATTTCACAAGGTTTATTGTCATTGTTTACTTATCTCTCCTCATACAGAGGCAGTCTGCATGCTGAAATTTTCAGCCATTGGCTCTGTAACTCATTGTATAAACTGACAACTATATTACTGTACTAAAACTTCAGTTGTAGTTTTTGCCTTGTGAAAAGTGGGCCTTATCTTCGTGAGCAGTGATATATTAAGGATTTTAAGTTCCTGGGGCCACAATATTGTTCGGACCCCTAACAAAACACACCGTTTTTATGCATGCATACAGTATTAGTAAAACCATGTACAAATGTTGATTAGATATATATTTATATATACACATAAGCTAAGCTCATGCAAATACACCAAACCAAATTACCCATTTACACGATTACCAGTAATAATCTACTTATGGGTAACACAAAATTGTACACCATACCACTGTGTGACACAATTTTTTTGTACGGTTTCATCGCAGTAAATTTTCCAGTCACTTGCTCAGTATTAACGCTCAGCAATATATTTTAGGTCAGCATAAAGAAAAATAACGCTCTCCAGTGGAATTTGACACCATCAAAACCAAATAAATGTGGTAAACAATGAAAATATTAGGGGGAAAAGCCCCCCATTTCTGAATAACCTATAGTACATCCAATGACTGGAAGTTAGATAAGTTTTGTTTGATATACAATTCAAAATGCTGAAATTCTATAGAAAACTTTTGCCAAAATCGTTTGGGTAAGGTCCACTCTGATTTTTTGCTGTAGTTCATGATTCTTCTGATGTAAGTTGAGATGTATTGTTGAGCATTCCAAATTGATCAGTAATATCCAAAGATGGGTAAAGTACTGATATATGTGATATATATTTACTCGAATAAAAGTACTGTTCCTCAAGTTGAAGTAAGTATATCCTTTCATGGATGTATACTTGAGTAAAGGTAAAAGTTGGTATTATATACAATTCATAAGTACCCTGTAGTTAGCAAAAGTATAACAATTATATTACAAACTTCTGTGAACTCTTCATTATTATTAAAAGTCACACAGCTCACTTGCTTAGCTTTAGCACCAGCTGTTTTTTAAAGATGTCGTCTACAGTGGCGGCTCGTGAAAAATAAAATGGAGGGACTGCAAGCCTCACACAACAGTAGGATACACAAATTTGACCTACCTCAGGTATGAGTTGTAGTTGATGTCCACGAATTCCCAGGGCATGGTAGTAGTGTTGGTGGTAGAAGGGATGTGTTTTGCAACTGAGAGCATGTATGCTGTGTCAATCTGAGCTGCAATGTTCACTTTACCCAGCAACGATAAATTAATCATGTTATTCATATGTTTGGCTGACTGCTCATGTTTCACTATTTTCTGTGGCAAATGCCTCAAGTCAGTCACACCACTTTTCGTCCATGCCGAGTCCCCACCAAACAATAAGCATGGAAAGCAGAATAAAGTATTTGCCTCGTCACAACCACAGAGCCATTCACATTTCTGATAAACACTGATGTTAAACTGGCGTGTATATTCTTTGTTCCTGCTTGTACTGTTCTGTTGAATGGATAAAACTGGTGTAGGTCTTCCTCTTGCTTTGATTTCAGTCTTTTCATTTAATGTCAGCTGGGAAAAGTTGATGTTTTGCAAATACTTCACTCGATTTTCCATCATCAAAGGGTAATTAAAGAAAGCACGATTTAACCACACCGTCCACACGCAATGTAAACACGTTGTACGAGACTGAGCTGCTTCAAGTGCAGCTCATTGTGCGGCGGCGGCGGCGCCAATTAATAACAGACATGAATCGTACAGCATTGACAGCAACTATGAAAGTAACTTAAATTTTGGTCTGATTTTAATGAAAATTCACTTAGCAACGTATTGAAAATAATTAAATAACATATAAAATGATATATTTGTTGGTAGTGTATTATTCAGCCGTCTCTCTAAAGGAATCATACGCCTGGCAGTGAGTGTCTGGGGGGACTGCAGCTCTGCAGCCCTATGCACGAGCCGCCACTGGTCGTCTAAACGATTTGTTATTCGTGGCGTGAATAAGATCCCAGCAGAACTAAACTGCTCGCTTGCTGCAGAAGCAGGCAAAGGGGTATTTGCCTTGATAGATGCTTTCAAGATGGATCGAAAACATTTAAAACAACCATTCTAGCTGACATGTATCCCAAGTACCCATTTAACTCTCTGGTCTCATGGCTGGTTCAGATCTTCACAGATGAAAATAAATCTTCTTCATCCAACTCTTCCAAATAAGGCCACGGATGATTTTTCATTGTAGACATGGCCACAACTGAATAAAGCTCACGAGGTCAACGTTAGATTGGAAAGGGCTGCTGTGTGTACCTGCTCTGCACTGCTGTAGACCTCGTTACTTGTGATTGGTCTCTAATTAACTGATCGGTTAGTTTATGTAAAAAAAAATAACGCCATCACCATGACAACCAGAACCTCTTCTCCATTTTTATTTAAAATGTAATGGCGGTTTTATACAATAAATCTAGTGTAGTAAAAGTAGATATTTTCTTAATTTTATTTAAGTAAGAGGAACGAGTAGAATATTTTTTAGACTGATTGAGTAAACATAAAGTACAAGAAAAGTTACTTGGGTGTTGTAGAGAAATAAATATACTAAGCTACTCATGCCTGCTGATGTCAGTTTAAATATCTGCTGTCTCCAAATTTTTCCCCTCCAGTTAAAACCGTCTGATTTGAATTTTCACCTGACATGCTCTTTCTTTTCCGGATTTAGGTACGTACCTTTATAATCTAAATCTGTCTTTCCTTGGCTTTCACTTCGAAATCATCAAAGTCATCTCTAAAATAAGCAATAAACCTGTGCACAGATTTTAACATTCTTGCAGCTAAACAATGTTAGCTTTTTGAAGAACTTCTGGGAGATTTGAACCAATGAAAGTGAAAGCAAGTCACAAAGACATGACTTTCTTTAATTCGGTTCAAATTTCAGATAAAATAACTTTCTAGGGATAAATTTTTCCGAGAAGAGTTTGAACAGTTGACCATGTTTCTGACTGCAGATTTTCATCGTGCATGAGTTTGCTAAGAAACTGTTAATATCAAAGTAGCTCTGTACTTGATAGACTGACATCAAACCTTGTTGACCAATGAGTTTCTTGTATTCTTTTAACAAGTGGTTATTCAGAAAAAAAACCAATTGTACAACTCTGGAGGAAGCAAAAGTAGTTAAGATCCTCTAAGCAGCACTCTACTGAGCCAACCGCAACATGATTTAAGTGAATCCGCTGTGATGGGAGCGTATAGATAGCAAAAAGGTTTACTTCTTGAAACTTGGCTTGAACCCATTGTACTGTAAGGTACTTGTTACTTATAATTGCAGCATCATCATAACATTGCCCTCTGTAGCTCAAGATCTCAATATCGCTTTCTGCCAAGAATTTCCTAAGTTCTTAAAATTTTAATTCTCCAATGTTTGAATAAGACTGCCTCTCCTCTAAGGATTTTTTGGACAAAGTTTCTGAGACCTTCACACAACTAGTCTGTGGTAGCTTTGGTGTCTGCTGTTTTGACGGATTTATGGAAATCAGAAGGTATTTAGCCTCGCAGTGGAGTAGGTTTTTTATAAAGGGGAATCTAGATTTTTTCCGATATGTTCTTAGCCATTAAGTTTACAATTATGAGTTAAGGAAGATTTATGTAGACTTTCTTCATAAGTTTAATTGGGTGCTTCTCTTTTTGGGGGTCTGGTACTGATTAGTCCAGTTCATGACTAATAGGCTTAGGCTATATTCATTTAACTCAGAGGTGAATATGCTTGGGTATTCCTCCGTTAAGTGTTTCGTGAAAAGTGTAAAGTGAAATTAATAATCCCATGGGAAAACATGTAAAAAGTGAGGATAATTTTATTTGAGAGAAATATATGTAAGAACTATTAATGTATCATAGTTAATTATAATTCTGTAATCGAAAGAATAGGTTGTTTGAATCGTTGTTTTACTTTTTGACTACAAATATTTACAAAGTTTATATAAACGTTGGGAATATAATGACTAAGATTGGAAAACAAAGTCTATTAAAACAAGCTTTATGCGGAGTTTATCTGTGACTGTTAAGTGACATTGAGTCACGTATGCAAGTATCTTTAGACAAAACAGTTTTGGAGGAGGTTGAACAAATATTAGACAATCTCTGGGAGGGTAATTTTTGAAAGAGAAGCAGAGAATATTGCCGAATATAGCAAATGGCCCTCACTTTATGTGCACATTCACTTAATGCAATTTCACTATTTTGCAAACCCCCCAATTCTTTCACTCTCTTATTTTGTGAGAGAAAAAGTAGCAATTAATCAACTATTCGAGTTGGCTGTGTGAAGTTCGTGGCAACCCCTGTATGCACGGGTGGAATCCACTAAGCCAGATGGGGCAGGTGGAGTGATGAGTGTATAGCTTTGTGTTGTGAGGCTGTCCATCATTCAGAGTTATATTGTCCATTATTTTGTGTTGATGTACGGAACTCTCATATCACCTTGTAGTGTATAGTGTGTGTCATGACCGCAGAGTAATGCAAAGTCATGTTAACAAACTTCTCGTGCATCTCTTAACCCTATATTAACCTATTGATAAAGGTGAAGAGAACTGCTTTACAATAGTACGAGAGTTAGAAACACTGAGGCGAGGTATAGCATGCAAGGGTGTGTCTGCACTTGTCCTACATTTGCCCTTGGGAAGAAGGATGATAAAACAAGGAAGTCAACATGTCTTTCAACTTGGATAAGAACAAGGATATTAAGTCCCCAGTGGGAAAAATGGGTTATATTTATAATGTAAGCTGACGACCAGACCCGAAGGGAAATAGTGGTACTTACTGTAAGTGCTTCAGTAATATACTGTATATATATATATTTATTTATTTATTTATTTATTTTGATAAAAATCACACAGGAAAAAGGGAAACAATGGAGCACCTTAGCTTTCGCCTTTATTCAAGACATCTTTAGCGACAACTGAATTACAAGGACCGAGAGAGGCTTAAGTACACAGGGTAACCTTACTAAACATGAGGTCAGCGCCTTTGCGTGTGTGATAGTGTTGGTGTGAGGATTAGTGGATGTCGTATTTATGACCTGACCTCATGTTTAGTAAGGTCACCCTGTGTACTTAAGCCTCTCTCGGTCCTTGTAATTCAGTTGTCTCTGAAGATGTATTGAATACAGATGAAAGCTAAGGTGCTCTATTGTTTCCCTTTTTCCTGTGTGATTTTATCAAGATTTATCTTATCCACGTTTTCATGAGAGAGAGAGAGAGAGCACTTCTGGTTTAATATAGAAGATAATATGATATTTAACAATCCTACTGCCTTTTATGGCATGCGGAATTTTTGTGTTATAAAAAAAACATTTCTAGCTAGGTGTTGCCTTGCCATGTAATATTAATCGTGTGCCTTAACTTGTTCTTTGTGCCAGCGTTGCTTCAAGTCATTACATACAACAGAAAACAGTACAAATATATTGGTGCTGTATTTGCCTTGGAATTTGCTGTTCCCAGAATGATGTTCCATTTCCCAGTTTATATTTAATTCTTGGAAAAGCAAACGACTGAATACACTGACACACTGTACCTTGAGGTAATTACACCTAACATTGTCTACCATCACTATGACCAATGTACGACACAAAACCTCATTATTAATTTTACGAATTTAGATACTTATAGTGATAAGTTTCTTAGTAGAGTTAATTCATTCACCCCAAATAGGTTTGTCCTTACTCTGGTTGATAATTACCATAAAGACGTGTTACAAGTCTTTGTTTGGAATTAATTGATAATGTGGTTATATGGAATACTGATTTTGGGCTCCTGATCCCTTGTTAATGCCCAAGCAGTAGTGTCCTCTTGTGTAGGGGAGTTTCTCAC